AAAAAAAAAACTCTTCAAATAAATTATAAAATAATGTAACAAAGATAGCAGCAATAAATCTTCAGGTTAGCAGTGAGACTGGCAGGAGATTCTTGAAAAAGGGTAACTTTTGAGTGACAAAATAGAAACTAAATGGGTATAAAAACATTACTAGGACAAACCCTATTGGTCGGTATTACGGGAGCCTACGATGGTGGGGCATGACCTGTCAAGAAACGCTTGGGGGCGGCACGTTTATAAAAAGCGACCGGGCAAAATTTTTGCCATTATATCAATTCTCATCGAGCAGTGCGGTTGGAGAAGGCGAAAATCCGCTTATCATTCCATGTTACACTCGGGTCGGTTAGTGAATTAAAGTGCATTGCAAACGTCTACTGTTTGCTCCTAGTGCTACAGACTACTACAGTGAGAATGCATTCATTCAGTGGAAAAATTGTTAAAAACGTGGATGTTGGAAGGTTCACACCCTACAACCTGCCAATGGTAAGTACTTTTTTGAATTTTTCATACTGAATTTAAAACACTTTACTAGTTGCTGAGCAATCAGCCAGAACTGATTTTACTTGTTCAATTCTTCATGAAGAAATTCCAAAATTCCCAAAACATTCCTCGTCCGAACAAAAACACGCGCTATTTAGACCAGAAGTTAAGCGCTTTCAAGAGATTTTCATCCATTATTCACAGGACATTGTTCAATTATTTATTTTTTTTATTGTTTTTGTACGAAAATGGGGTCGAAACCTACCTAAGTGATGTTTATGAAATAAAACGCATGTTTAATGCACTCAGAACATGAAATGGATCAAATTTGAAATGTACCAATTTTGAAAAGATATAATAATAACATAAATTAGTGGATCGGAGTGGCCCGATAAATTGGGACGTTGAACAGGGCTTATTTACTGAAGGGTTGAAATCGTGTGAAATCTGGGAAGACAATTTGGATCGATTTGGAAGCTTTGTTTTGGAAATTTTCGAATTTGCTCCATAGCAAATCAGGTGGATTCAACTGGCAGGGGCAGTTTTAGCTTAATAATTAACTAACTAGAAAAGGAAATGTTTACCTCACCACTATCAGAACAAAGATTCAGTTCAGTTTCAAAGGTTGCCGAAGAAGACTTTTTGAAAAAAAATTCTATAAAATGTTTTCAAATGCGTTCAGTCTCCAACATTGACGATCAAGATTATTTGAGAAAAAGCGGTCGAAATTTCATTAATTAACAATTTAAACGACTGTCAGAAGAAACATTGAGATCAGTTTCAAAGTTTGGTGGTTGGGCCTAGACAAAAAATGCTTTGAGCAACAAGTCAAGACTTTTGTGAAAATCAACTTTGTAAATTTTCAGCTTCATAGGTTGATGACGAAACTATTTAAAAAAAAAGAATCAAAACGTCCATCATTTTTATAACATAATTATTTTATAAAATTCATTCGCTTTAAAGAAATGGTAAAATAAATCGCAATTTAACCCACTGTTTCTTCATCATGAAGACTATTCAACTCAAACTGGGTCAAAACGCCCGAAAATCTTGTATAAAATAAATCGTGTACTCGAACAGCCAGAAAGTTGATTTGCTCGTAAAAAATCAGACACTTAAATCTAATGCACCTGATTAGGCTCCGAAACTGTTGTGGCTAAACAGATTGTTTTCTTTTATAGAAAGGCGAGCGATCGGACGATCAGCGAACTGACTCTGGAGTTACTTCTGGAAGTAGCGAATGCCCGTCTCCATCGAGCAATCGTAGTTCCTCCCCAACCTACCAGTTCCAGAAGAGCCGCGAGTACTCTAACTGGTTGCCCCCTTATCCCACACAAGAGAACGTGCAAAGCCCGGATTCCACACGAGAGAATGAGCAAAGCCCTTATTCCACATCAGAAGATAGAACGAGCCCCTCTTATTCCACAGCAATGAGTTCAACAGTTCCGACCAACACCAATGGCATCGACAGCATCAAGCAGCCGCAGCTGAATTCACATGGGAAACTGAAGAGCTACTGTTGTAAGAGGTGCGGCGTAAAATCGTACACGAAAGAGGACCATTGGACCCATATCAGGATTCACATAGATAAAAATAAGTTACTGTTGTGCGAAACATGCCCATTTGCCACCCATCTAAAACACCACTTCGAATTCCACGTCTTATCATACCATTCTGGATCGAAACCTTTTAAGTGCAAACTTTGCGACTATGCGTGCGTTAACAAATCAATGTTGAATTCCCACTTGAAATCGCATTCGAACAACTATCCGTATCGATGTGGAGACTGCCCGTATGCCACCAAATACCTCCATACGCTTAAAATGCACCTGCAGAAAACCAAACACACTCAGGGAGTAGTTCTTAATGCTGATGGGACTCCCAATCCGTATCCGATTGATGTTTATGGGACGCGACGAGGGCCCAAACAGAAGAAAACGAACGCCAAGCTCCCCATTCAGACCCCCAAGACGCAACATGCAGTGCTTACCAACTTGGCGTTGCATTCGCAAGTTATGCCTCAGTTCGGTGCTCTTTTAGGACAGGGTCCGCTGGGCCCAACTTTTTCGCCACAAGAGTTCTACCATACCCAGGAGATGCTGATGGCGCAGAATATCATGCTAAAACTGTTCAACCAACACGTYGCKCAAAATGCGCAAGCAGATTTCCAACAACCAAATAGCAACAAGTATGATGATGGTGAAATGGGACCTGAYGGAGTACTGGATCTGAGCAGTAGCAGATCTTCAAAGTCCTCACAAGGTGACGATGATGATGAGGAGATGTCGATGGCCTTTTCCAATGTTGAAGTAGTGGACACCAGTGTGAGCGAAGTGAAAACGGAGAGCGAAGTGATGCCAGAGTTGATGCCAGAATTGAAAGAGCTGGTGTTCACTTGCCATCATTGCAACATTGACTTCAAAGGAAAACCGGGGGAGTTCATATATAGAATCCATATGGGCCACCATGGCTTCAACAATCCCTTCACATGTAATATGTGTGGCGAAAACTGCGAGAACGTGGTGGGCTTTAGCATGCACATTAGCAAAGCCGCCCACTAGTTAAGACGGGCAAATTTTTTCAGGAAACTAGTCATATATAAGGTGCAATCGAAAAGTTTGGGAATTTAGAGTAAGGTTGTAAAATTTCGTGAAACAATCTTTGGTGTGTGTGTGTGTGTACATTACAAAGATTTGTTTCATTTGACTCCCACTTTTCTTACTTGATAATGTCGTTGCTTTAACTGTGTCACAAGCAGGCGCAGCATACAAAACGAGCAAAAAAACCACCCAAAAGAGTGAACTTTAAAAGGACGAAGAGAACGCGTGCTTGCTTGTAACACCCACTGGAACCTGTTCTAGTTTCGCGCAATTTCATCAGGTTGCACCCCTTAAACATTCATCTAAACAAAGACTTTTTCAATTGTTTGATCTCTGATATCCTCGCATGTTACAGCTGCACAAATGTATTTAAATCCTAAGATAAGTTCATTCCAAAGCTAGTTTTGTTAGTTAGGTTTTATAATTAGGAAATTGTGTACATATTTTTGCTATAAGACTGATCATCCCTTTTAGAGACTTAAATGGCGCTTAAAGAGTAAAAAATCAAAGTATGTAAAATATGTAATTTAGCAATGTACAGTTTTTCATAGAGAATTTTCAGATGTTATGTAAACAAGTTTTATAAATCGAATTTGATTGATATAACAACCTGGTTTTATTCAGCTGACCGTCCTGACTTCACTCCGAGTCCAATCAGGTTTGTCGATGTCTTTGTGTCTTCCACCTTGCCATTTTCAGCTTGACTTGACGATTCTCTAATGATCTTATGACAGTTTTGCTT